TCATACGCATCACATTTCTTTACCTTATCTCAATGAATGCCCCCGAGATCTGTTGTTGCACGCAGTTGACTTATATCTCCACTTTGAAAAATGTGGTGTTTTTTTCTTTCAGTTCACCGCGCCATATCTTCACGGGCCTTCAGGGGTTGAAGCAGATATTTAAGAAAATACACAAATCGCTCTTTTGAGAGAGAGAGAGAGAGAGAAAGAAGACCAAGGGAATGTAACACAAAAGAACAACTTACAATCAATGGTCAAAATATATTATATCTCAGATCTTTCCACGATAATTTGTTTATTACCATTCAATGTATATATTGATCTTTAGCATACAATTGGTTGAAAACTGATTTTGTTGTGACGCATACTCGATTAAAGGTGATACATAAAATTAGTTTGAGAGGAATATAATTAATTGTTACTTGTTATGATACAGGGCCAAAGGGTAGTGTTATTCGTGTGTGTGTGTGTGTGCGTGTGTGTGCGGGGGGGGGGGGACGGGATTAAAGGGCATTGTTTGTGTGTATAGAAAATTAACTAGATGACTTTGTCTCAATTGAACACTTCGAGAGAATGGTTCAGAGGCATCACAGCGAATGGTGTCTGACACTGTCACGTTATTTGATTTAATAAAAGATGATACATTTAGCAATATATAGATTTATTCACCCGTCAAACATGCAAAGTGTCGAAGTCCTGAGAAAAAAACAAACATTTAATACATACATGTAGGTCAGGTCCTATTCAATTTGCTGATATAATTCATAGCCTTCCCCGGCAGCAATTTAATACCACAAAACTGTGATTAAAGAGATGGAAACAGAATTCTCTGGCAATAAATAAGGTCGATTTTTGGTTGATAATTTCTACATCAAAATTGCCATTATGATCACCATTTCTATTTCGATTTGGACTTTATAATGTGATACCGTCCCTTGGAGCTTTAGATATTACCTCGGCCATCGTATTCACTCACGCTCAGTGTGCATCATCTTAACTCCCTGAGGAGTATTCCTTCCATATGGTATCGTGAAGGGATGTGGTAGTTACTATCACAAAGGGCTTTCGTTATCCTACCAGGTCCCCGTACCTCTAATGTACGACGTGACAAATGTAGATTTATGCCTGGTCAACATACATTAGTGCCGTGTCGGGGATCGACCCTACGTCCCTTGCATTTCCAGTCCAGTGCTCAAGCCACTCGACTTCAACACATCTACTTCCCTTTGGGTAAACGATATGCCCAGTTTTATTTAAATTTCTTTTAAATACAATATGCCTTTATTTTTCTGATTTTTAAATATTTGTTTAAAAAATTAGCAACTACCTTCGAAATACATGTATCAACAAATGGGCAATTTCAATATACTATTGTATGTCCGATATAATTAATATTCGAATTACATAATTAATGAGGCCATTGGCATTGTTTTAGATGGATTTATTTTCTTTCTCAGTCCAAAATAGTTGCGATCGTGTTTTCTATACATATAGATTTTTCGCCCTTTTTTTCTTCTTTTATGTTTGCTTTTCTTTTTATGATAAGACAATTGATTACCGGTTTCCTGTAAAGCGCTTTTCAAGGCGCTTCATGTTTTTGTGTTTTTTTATTTTTTACTTTGATGATATTCCTATTATGTGTCCATGAATTGGAAAGAGGTCTTTTTTTTAATTTGAATTCTTTAATATGATGTCAAAAGTAAATTGCGCAAAGATTTCACGCAGCTGGCCTGTCCATTTCCGTATCTTCTTACTCCTAAAATATCATAGTCGAGGAGAAACTTAATGAAAGTGCTCGAATACGCCGCTGGCTTGGGGGGGGGGGGCGACCATGGTCGACATCCACCTCCAAGCGATTGGTCTCGTGGATCAGAACAGCGCCCTCTACCCCTGCGTCTTCAGCAAAGCCTTTAGCGACCCCATCGACAAGGCCTTTCATGTGACAAAAACACTCACCACGATTGGATTATGTCACTCTTATGCAGTTTGTTTCATTCAAGAGAAAGATTAATCCGAATTCTCCCATCAATTACTGCAAATATGATTATGCAGTGATTTCGTCTTATTATTCTTGTCAAATTAGTTCAATATAACGTCTTACAGATGTTACCAAATATGTTATGGTAATAATTATTGTCATGCAGGAAAGAGACGGAAAGGTTCGAAGTGCTTGATGTCCAAACTATGCTGCGCAAAGAAATGATGCACAATGATAATACATTTATATTTACAATTACAAAGCAAAGGAAGAAAGAAAAAAATACAGACACAGAACAAAGATATCAATATTTCATTACGTTTCTTTGTTAATCTCTCAACACTTTCTGCAACCTAGAGTGATATATTACTACTGAGTCCATAATTATTGATAAACCAAAAATAAATGTATGCAGAATTCGAGTAAGGTTCAATGAATGGCTATTCATTGTGTTGGTGCATTGATACCTCTCCCGTGCGCAAATTATTGTTTACATGGTTGGATGTTTTGCGTGCGGCGTTGAAGCCGCCATGTAACCCTTGAGCATAAATAATTACCTCTCTTTAGAAATCAAGCCATCTGATTGGTCGAAATTGGAGTCGTGATTTAAGCCATTCCCGTAAAAAAACGAACAATGCCGGAACGGTCAAAAGTTCATGAGTGAGATTCCCTAAAGATTCCATTTTCCGGGAAAATAGTAAAATTTTGATGAGATCCCCATTGGTTTACGTGTTAAAAGTTACCTTGTGCGAGCGCGCGGATACCAAATAGTGCAGTGTGTGTGCGATTCCCAAATAATTGTAACATTCAGTCATCTTTCCAGAGAAGATTAACAGACAGTGTCTCAGATTTTCTGTGATGTTTTAACCAATCTTTGCTCAAGAAAAGGATAAGGTAATTAGAATTGTTGGTAAATTTTTGTCTGAATTCGGTATATAAAAGATATATCGACTGCTTTGATATTCGAGGCCTGGCTGTTTCTATACTGGCTCTCGGGGACGTTGCATTGAGCCTATAAAAACAGACAGGCCTCTCATAGCAGTCGACATATCTATACTTTAACCTTCATTATCCGTGAATCTCTATATTTCGTATCTTGAATTTCATTTCTCGCCAGAGCAAGACATCTCTTCTTGTTCATTCTTTATAATGGAAACTTTTAATTTGTTATGTTGTATCGAAAACAATGTAGTTATGCTTTTTTGAAGAGATGTTACTGGAGAAAGTTGAGTTTTGCTATTTTAAAAGAAACACACGGTACCAGCCTAAATACATAGCGAGAGAAATGTTCGTGGAACAGAAGACAGTTGGCGATATACATCTAGCTTAAATAATCGTTTTCTTTATTTTAAGATATTCTACCAAAATATACATATTTCAAGATGGATTTCATGATTTTACTCTGTAATAGTACAGATACAATGCTATACAAGTTTAATATCAATCCAATTAACTGAATAAGCAATTAACTAGTAAGTAATACAGTAACTAAATATGTATTATATATAGGATTTCCCGGCCAAATTCGCGTGTTTGTCATTCGAATTCATTTACTTTGCATTTAAGTTAGCGCAGATCGGCTTTGCCATGCCAATTATCATTCAATTTTCCATTTTTTGTATTTGATTTAGGATTTTGGTCGAAGGGTTTCATAGATCTGTCATTCAATTAAGAAACTGCTCAACTAGCATTCAAATTGATATTCACTTGTCGAAGCGTAATTTTTATCATTCAAATTAACAACTGTCATTCGTATTCGTAATATTTTTATTCAACTTAGGAAGAATTGCAACAAACTTGTACAGTTTTTAAATAATGCAGTTAAAATGCATGATTTGCCTTTGGGGTCTAAACTGTTATTCCATTTATTAATTTTCAGGACAATGCAGATGGGTGTAGTCAGACATAAAGTAAAGAAGGGGCGAAATCAAGGGATATGGCATTTCTGCACGGACATGTTCATATACCCGGGAAAGGTGGGGGTACCCTCAATCGCCCCTTTTTACTACAGACTCGGAATTTTACAAAAGTAATTCACATCGTCTCTTATACCCAGCACACCCCTCTGTTTTTCTTAAAGAGTTTCATTGAGGCTGTTCACACTGCAATGAGATCGGTCTATCGTAGCACCCCCTTTTTTCTAGCGCGCTAGACCGCGCTATCTCTCGTGGACCACCGCCAAGAGGTGCTCCAGTGGCACGCCGTTTTGGCTCGCCGTGGCTCGCTGTTGGGCGGACCGAAACGACGTTGTACCTTCCAAACCGCAGAGATAGCGCGGTCTAGCGCGCGCTATCTCTGCCGGTGTGAACAGCCTCATAGTTTACTTGCCCGCCAGCAGATCGATTGCTAAAGACATGGCTAAATAATGAATCATGTTCAAATTGTTGACTCTAGTCCCTAACCCAGTCACAATATTGTACCCTTCTTCCATAATGAAATTATGATAAATTTGTGATGAAACATAAGACAAACAACTTCCTTACATGAACATTTACAAATATACTGAGACCATCAGGTCCGTAGATGCAAGTCGTTTTTTTCTTCTTAACAATCAAAAGTAAATGCTGATGAATATCAGATAAATCTAATAACTATAAGTGTATAAATGCAAGAAAATGAAATATGATGAAATACACATGAAGAAAAAAAATCTTGAAAGAAAAAGAATGAGCTATAAAAAGAGTGTAATACGAGAAATGTATATTGACCATCAATTTAAGTGCATAAAGTGCTAATTTGAATGCTACAAATGAATTAGAATGCTAGAAGTACACCGTCGCGTTGTCAGAAAATCGTGTTGCGCCAAATCGAATGACCAAATAGCGAAAGAAGCACATTGTTCATTCATTTGAATGAAACATACGTAGATTCTAACGAAAATTCCATAGATTTGAAAACTAGAAAAGGGAATATAAACCCGGGATATACCTGACTGCACTAAAACCGTCGAATTTGAACGCAAAACAAATTAATTTGAATGACAAACTCGCGAATTTGGCCGGGAAATCCTATATTAAGTATATAGCTACAAATAAAAAATATATGTCATTAAATAAACAAATACAATAATGAAATATAAAACGAATACATCAATGAAAAAAAACATATGGGGATCTACATCTCGTATTTCAAGTCCAAGATAGTCACTATGTCGCAGCGTTTTGAATGAAACAGATTACGGGGGGGGGGGGGGGCTTTCTTTGTAGCTTCATAAATCTAAAAATGCAAATGTTTATAAGTCTGAAGGTTTGTATTATTGGATTCCGAACATATCCCCAAAGAGTTAACCAGAACAATTGTAATATACAATAACCATTGCTCCATTTTTTGTCTTTGTTTTATGAACCCGATTTCATGTTGGGAAAAACAAGTGGGTTGACCAGAACATAGTTTATAAAATACATCCGTGTAACTATATTGGACTAGTACATTAGAGAAAATAAATCAGAGGCGCGCCATATGTTTATATTTCATGTAACAGTGGAGCTGATATCTGGCCGGTATTTTAGTTTAGGTAGTTTTTAGCGTCATATTCATCAGAATCTTCCAGGCAAAAACAAAATGAACAAAGCACGCACCTGTCCTTTAAATTGATGCATCTTACAACGTAGGGTCATCACAGTGTATACTTGTATTAGGCATTTGACTTTTCAGATCCTCAATCATTTAGACGTAAAAAGTTTGAATGTTCATATAAAATGCTATTGTAAATTCTTCACATATCGGATCGTAGTCAGATCGTAAACAGATCGTATAATGTGCGGTAGGTAGTTAAGAGAGAGTTATATAAAGAGAAGAAAAACAGCGTGATCAAAATGTCGTCGTAGAATATGTAAAAGGAATGATTTAGTTCAAATTTATTTTGAACCATATATCATCAGTACTAATAATTAATGAATATTCAGGTGGTGAGTACGCTTTTTAATTGATCAAACAATGATTGCCTCCTAAACACCCTCTTGTATGAAACTCGAAAATTCGGTTGCATCAACTTGAAATGAGTTCAGGTAATCGTTTCCAACAACTAACCGGAAATTAATACATTACTGTAGTTATAAATGTCTCAAATTAGTTCCCGTTTGCTTCTTTTTCATTGTTTCTAGATACTGAATTGCTGGCCGAATCATTCTAATGCACTGAACGTCATCCTTCATACTGTCTTTTAAAACATAACGACTGACTGACGTCGACATACTCATTTCAGCTTGAGTCCCACTTAAGCATTTTTCTGCAAGTGCTTCGTTCATTTTCCCCAGTATTCTCACATCCCGGGCCATCCTTTCCCGCCCGTACGCATTTACCTTCATCCATAGTGTCCTATTGAAATGTTCATAGAGGAGCGCGTCACCGTGGTTCCACTTGTAAAGCTGGGTGAAGGTCCTCTCTGACATTTCGTTTACTTTTGACTTTATCCTCGCATTGGCCGAGAAATAGGTAACATCGCTAAAATCCCAGCACATCAAATCTTTTAACAGCACCAACGATTCCAAAAGATACTCTGCTACCAGGACCAAGTCAAACTCTTCCTCCAAACTCGCAATTTTATGTTGTATAGCGTTCTCATTGCTGAATTCAGATTTTGCCATACCAAGGTCATAGAGAGTTGGGTTGAGGGCGCTGTGTGCAGGAGTAGAACCTTGTCTACGGTAGTAGCTAAGAGGATTGTCCGCAAACCCTGATAGGTTAACCTTGAATATGCCTCCAAAGCCATAGTAGACGTACATACTATCAAACTGTGTTGACGGATGACGAAAGATGGTCACGTATGCTGCGTTGGCATACATAATCTTTGCCATTTCTGGAATGAAAAAAAGAAAGTCAAGCATAGAATGAATTATGATACAGTTTAAACTCGATCGTTTAATAGCCACGTTAACCACATCTGCTTCCCTGCGGTCCCTACACTAGTTATTTCCCAAGGCCAGGTCCGCATTATGAAGGTTCCCACATTCAATTCAATTCAATTTGTTTTATTTAACCATTTAGAATAAAAGATCAATATACAAATCATGCATGTATGAGAATTATTAATACAGTATAAATGGTTCGGGTGCCCCTAAAAGCGAAGGCTTGATTAATGGGGTGCCCTATACATAAAGAAATATACATACAATAAACATGAGATACAAAACAAACTTAAATTAATTTTTTTTTAAAACAAAACATTAAACACTAAACATACAGGCAAAGGGAAATAGGAAAGGGTGAAGTAAGAAAACGTAATGAGGAGAGATGAAATTACATGTTTATTTGACAAATGTAAGTGTTATTGAACGTTTGAGTTTGGTTTTAAAGGAAGTTACGTTACTGCTGGAAGTTACGTCAGAAGTTCATTTTGTTTTCTTTTTATTTTATAATTTGGCATCCAATTGCGTCAAAGTCAAATCGAGTATGTCATTGCAAGCTTCCAACGATATATATGCTTGCTTAAATCAATTTCGTCAAAGCGTCATTCAAATTCGTTACTCGATCGTTAAAGGGATACGCCTTTTCTCTTCATTTTATCAAGAATTTGGATTTGGTGTATTTTGTATAATACTTTTCTTGAACCGATCAGTTATATGAATATTTATTTTCATCACCATCAGAATCATACAGAATTGTTATCTCTTTTTTCACAATTTTGTGTTGCTATGCATTGATTTTTTTCAGCTGTGATCATGTTGATAATAGGAGCCAAATGCAACAGTTGATTCGTTTTATCAATGACATATAATGTGGGTACAGTGTAACAATGTCGCTAAATCCAAACAGAGTTGACAAAAGCCTTAAAGGAAACCGAGCCCCCAAAATAACTTTACTTATTCTGAGAGGTTTATTATATTATTGCCCATTAATCTATAAGATTCCCCACCAAAGTGTATGAGAGAGGCAAAGAGGAAGAATAATGTAAAGTTTTTCAGCACGACATGAGCATCGCTATTTCCTTGATTACGTGACGTACTATGCGAAGTCGTTTAGTAAGTTAATGTATTAAAATGTATGGGTGCTTCGTTCCCAGACGTGTGTGATGATGCAGCATTTCATTCACCTGATATTATCCTTTGTACGGCAATTGTCAGAACGCAAATTGCATATATAAGTTGGTGCTCTTCTAGGGTAAAGGTTTCTCATAAATAAAATAAATTTGTCAACTGCTATATTGTGTCATTTATAAATGAATTTAGTTACAATAATTTTCCCCTGTTATTTATTTTTCACCAAATATAATTTCTATCTTCTTAGTTATGATTTTTCCTCGTTGAAAAGTAAAGGTTTCGTTATTGATATAAAAATTATTTCCAACTAAAGCTCGGTGCATGATACATGTGTAACTTCAACTGGTACGTCATATTTTTAAGAAAATGGCTGCGCCCATGTCATGCTAAAAGGCATCACATCATGCCAGGAATATCTTCATTTATATATCTCTTGCACATTTTCGTAAGGAATATTATACATCAAAGGGCAGGAATTCATCTAAATTTTCAGAATACCCACACTTATTATTTGGGGCTAGGTTTCCTTTAATTCCGTTTCGTTGACGATCAGTCATGCAGCAAGCCTTTCGTCTTCTTTGTGCATGGCTGACCGTCAACGAAACGGAGTTAAGATTTTGTCAACTCTGTCTGTTGCTACGACAGGCAGTCAGTAAAAACGAATTCGTTCAATCAAATTATGGAAATGCAAGCATTACTTTAAACAAACAAAACGTTGTTATTATTTATTTTATATTATTATATTCCTGGCTCACTTTTAATGATTGAGGTGTCATATCACAGGGCAGAAAATGAAATTTCTAGATATGTGATTCTCTCTCTGAAATTCAGATATAGCCTGCCAAATGATTTTTTGGTTTCCTCTCTTCAAATTGTTTTTAATCACTCATGCGTGACAAGTGTCATTTATTAATTCTTACTGTGATTAAGTTATGATAAAACATCGATAATTCTCGGTTTCGTTGTTTCTGGAACGCACTGTACATACATATATATCCCGTGTAAGTAAAACAAAAAGTTTACACCTACGCAATTGCTAATCATTTGAAAAATCATCTATGAACAGTGAATTATTATGCATCTTATGAAAGTGTTTTATCCCAAATCATTTTGTTTCATTTTTGTGTGGTATGTGTTCACGCTTGAATGAACAGGAGGCATCATGTGCGAGAGTGCAAAAATTGACTGGCGCCAAAGTGAAGTATGTACACTGTCGCTCATATAGGTGGAATATTTTTGTTTTACCCCAATTTATGGAATTATTTTAAAAATAATTAAAAAATAATAGCTCTAGATAAAAGTATACATTCTCAGATTTTATTGAATAATAATTTGCAAATGTGTGTTTTGCGTGACTGCTAAAGCATGTGTATGCTTCTATGCTTATCAAATAGGGGACCTACGCCATAAAGTCATAAATGACAGTAATGAGGATTAATGCCCCACAAAAGGGCAATACTATAGCACATCGACACGGTTTGATCCTGGGGCCTCACAGTTACGAGGCCATTGCTTTGTCACTGAACCATGACTGTACGCAGTGGGGGGCTAGGGTAGGGGGCAGTTTCCATAAATTAAAAAAAAACAGAAAATGCAAAACATTTTCAATAGTTTATTGCATTTTGCCCCGGTTCCCAACATAAAAAAATCCTCTGTGTGTCCATGCCTTGAGCCACAATCCATGGCATTAATCCTCATTACTTTCATTTATGACTTAAGGGCGTAGGTCCCCTAGTTGATAAGCATAGTAGCATGCACTTGCTTCAGCAGTCACGCAAAACACACATTGTCAAATTATTATTCAATACAATCTGAGAATGTATACTATTATCTAGATCTATTATTTTTAAAATAATTCCATAAATTGGGGTAAACCAAAAATATTCCAAATTTCCAGCGACAGTGTATGTATGACTATCATTTTGTCATCACCAAAATGTATCGATTTTTTGTATCAAATTTCTGTTTCGTGTAAACTTTGCCTGAGCGTATATTTTACACTGTAGCAAACCAAATATCCATGTTGGATGACATTGGGCAATTTTAATTGAATACAATAAGGAGAACAACAACAAGAAGAAGGAGGGGAGTAAGTAGTAGTAATACAAATAACAGTTGTAGTAAATAGTAGTGGTAGAAAAAAAAATAATAGTAATAGTGTTATTAGGCCAAATAAAACAAATATACATGTTTAGCGTCCCCGCCCGCTCCCTTTTTTGGGGCAGCCTCCTATTTGTTTTAAATTTGTTTTTTCTTTAATGAATTAAAAGATGAAAAACATGCTGCTTAAGTGATCTATTTCTGATTTTAAAATAAAATACCGGCGGCCATCTTGAAAAATAGCCCGACTTTCCGGGAAAATGTACCGAGCGGCCATTTTGAAAAAAAGGGGGGAAAAAGGGGCCTCCTCCTTCTTATTTTTTAAAGAAACAGGACGCTAAACATTTTATTTCTTTGGCCTTACAAGGATTGTTGTAAACATTTTGACTCACCGGGGCGGTTATATCTTGCATGATTGGCGAGCATATTGTATTTCCCTGTCGGGGACTTGATTGGAAACGTCCTTCGAAACAATGCGGGCACTCCAAAGTATACGCCTGATTGGGGGAGGGCAAATGTTAACCCGTTAGCGTCACCATAACGATACACAATGTTCTGTATGGTTGAGCTTCCAGTTTTGTGCGTTTTAAGAAACAACAAGTTCTTTCGCGGAGTGCACGTCGTGACGTCATTACGCGCAGGTCCACTCGATTTGCGTACAGACGCACTCACGGTGTCTGTACTCGTGTTTCCATTAAGCCGCGCATTCTCCATGTGCGGATTGGCAGTTTCTTCGATGCCGTCATATTGAGGGCGCAGTTTTGTATCGTACAGGATGTCTGAATCGGTTCTTGCGGGGGAGGGCTTTCCTTGTATTTCAGTACCGGAAGTGACTGTGAGTGATGCTTCCCTGAACGCATTCTTGGCCAATGCATTCTCGTTATTGTCTTCAACTCTCCTTGTTCCTGTTTGGTAAGTTTTGCGGTCTTCTGAACTAGCTACGGTCTTCCCATGTTCAACTGTTTGGTGCGCTCTCTCTGTTTTGTCAGCAGCTAATCGAATATTTACTGGCTCGATCCGTCTAAAAGCACAATGAAAACAGGAATAAAAACAGCAATACATAATAATAATATTATTGATGATGGGGATGATGTTGAATATACTAATGGAAATAATTACTATAATGCTACTACTACTACTACTACTACTACTACTACTACTGCTACTACTACTTCTCGTACTACTACTACTACTGCTACTATATTTACTAAGACTAGTGCAACTGCTGTTTTGACTACTACTTATACAAATTATCATTATCTTTATCATAAGAAATACCAAAAAAAATATCAAAATTAATAATAATAATAATGATAATAATAATAATAATGGTAATAATATTAATAATAATACAAATTAGAACTTAAATTAGAACAATATGAATGCATTGACGCCCTTGTTTATACAGGGCAGACGAAAGGGCGTCTCTGAGATCTTTAAGAGGAATTGATTAGAAGTCTGTAGCATTTATGAAGGTGGAGATAGTTAAAGGGAGTGGGTAGTCAGTTTCCATGTGCAGAAGGCCGTAATTCGCTGACACCAGACTTGGTGGAAATACCATTAATGGGAGTACAAATATGCGCACCGCAAACCCGTTGGCCAGTCAAGAATTACCTCTTTTCCTCTCGGAGCATGCTCGGAGATTCTTCGGGCGAATGAAAAGCAAAGTATTACATAAGGTTTAATGGTCATAAAACTCAAGGCTAACCCTGGTGATTGACAACACATGTTATTGGGTAAACACCCGAACGGTGTCGAATTCAACATGAGAGCTGTGACTTTCTATGTGAAATTCCGCAAAAACGGCCCGAAAGAGGCAAAATGACGTCTAGAAATGCCGTCGAAGTTTGAAATGAATAGGGATAAATGAAAGGACCTGGAATGGGGTCACAAGCACTGCGTGCAAACCGAATAGGATTTAGGTGGCGTCACGACGCATGCTGTGGCCCAAATGGCATTCCATACTAATATATTAATGCATGGTATAAAACGGAGTCTACCCCCCCCCCCCCGCCCTCCCCCTTGATGAAAATCTGGCTTCGCAATGCCCTGCGTTTAGCCATCACAAATATGCTTGTAAAATTTGAAGAACAAAAAAAGGGAAGTGGGCAAAAAGCGTTCTGAAAATTACGTCATACCCACGTGTTCTTGTACGGAAACCCAGTATTAGAACAGCCAAGACGCGTTTCTTTTTTGCTTTAGACGACATTTTGGAGGTAATTCATGGCATCCATGCTAAAGCTTTTTCAACCAAACAAAAAGTCACTTAGCGGTGGATGCCACGCGCATTATTAACTAAAAAATGTGATTTTTTGGCTCAAAATTTAAAACAATGTACAAAATCATCATTTTTTCAACCGAGTATGTATTGACGATCAGCCGTAGACGAAAGACTTCATGCATGACTGATTGCCAACGAAACGGAGTTAAGTCTTTGGTCGATTCTACTTGTTGGAATTGTGGAAATTAAAGCATCAATTTAATCAAACGAACTTTGTTATTCCTTGCTCATTTTTCCTGATTGAGGTGTCATATTAAAAGGCAGTAACTTAACTTTCTAGAAATGTGATTTTCTCTTTGAAATTCAGATACCGCCAGCCAAATGACTTGTTGGTTCCCTCTCTTCAAATTGATTTGAATCACTTATGCGTGAAATATGCATCATATGAGTTGCATCAAATGAAAGAAGAGGATCTAAGCTTTAGAAATATGTGTCTTTTATTAATTATAATTGTGATCAAGTTATTTTTTTTTCTCCATTTTTTGGACCCTCCAACAGGCCATTTATTGAAAATCAATCGCAAGATAACATATTTGAACACATGTTCCAATGAATATCATACAATATTTCATAATAAGATATGCATAACGAATATCAACCATAATACTGTATATACAGAACATACATGTAGATAAGGGAAAGAAAAACAAATATTAAATAATAATGCAACATCATGACTGAAAATGATATGGGAAATTCAATATACTCCTATTAAAGGATCAAAATCCTCTCAAAATTTATCCATTTTTTATCGAATTTGTCAGTTTTGTTAGCAAATATACTAACTTGCCTTAAGTTATGATTAAGTTATGATAAAGCATCGATAACTCTCTGTTTCGTTTTTTCTGGGACGCACTGTATACGGTATATGGCCATTCTATTAAAACAGGTATCAGCAATATTAGTTCATGGGCCAATAATAGGGCCTAGTATCAATTGTGACTATGAAATGGAGAAAAGACGTAAGAGATTATAGTTTCTTTTAATAGTAAGTTCGCTGGAGTAGCATAGACATTTATGCTGCAGATACTGTAGAGGTCGAACAGAGGAAAAGAGACAAACAAAATAATTGCTCGGAATTATTATTATCATGATACTTTGCATGTTTTCGTAATCCCCATTTTACTTTACCTTATACTACACGTCTAAACGTAAACTCAAGAAGAATATAGATAGTTATCAAAGCACTGTCCTCCCCCAGACTAAGTGGCAAATTTGATTGTACACAAAGTGAGAACAAAAAATAATTAAAAAAGAACAGCCAGTAGCAAATCAATCATTCTAGATCAAAACTATGTGCCCAATTGCTGGAAGTCAGCTGTTGTTATCTCAGCAGCCAAGTCACCCCCAAGCTTCCCAGCCAAACACAGAGGGTAAAAGTACAAAATTAGTGTTCAAAAGGGGAGGGGGGGGGGGGGGGAGGGGGATAAGAGCACATTTTTTTCTTGTCCCGAAAATTGGAAAATTATGCCGACCGATATTTCTTTCAATTGGGGAGGGGAGGGGGGGGGGGGGTAAGGTCATTTCTTTTTTCCTTTAGCAATTTTTTAATTTTTTAAAATAATTGTTTACATTTGGCAACAAGTGAGGTGGGGGTGGGGTTATCCTCCGATACCCCACATTACAAATATTTGAGGGGGGGGGGGTAACCCCAACCCCCCGTATGCTTACGGCCACCCAACAAACTAATTATTAATAGTCATTGATAGAAATTTCCCATCTTAAAGTTAACATGTTTTGCATCCCTGCCAGTGCCAGCAGCCAAATTGGAGAGCACAGTAGCATCAGAATTACAAAACAATCTTGCATAAAGCATTATGATTATTTTTGTATCGGCCTATCGATGAAAATCCATACCTCAAAAAGACAATTAATCTTCACCACTTCGTATTGTAATTTGAAAAACATACACCACCCAAATCCGGTTAAATTAGGTACGGATTGGTTATTTTGGACGCTACGATTTCTGGTTTCCATTCCCCATTGTAAGTGGTATGAACGATCTTTTCGACCCCCGAAACCCAAGTATAGACACCAAAATTACAGCTTTTAGATGGATATCGTACTTTTTATGGTCAATGTTGGTTTCCGGCGAGTCGAAATTAAAACATTTGGAAAATGCATCGTTGTTCTTTTAAAACACACTCCAACCTCCCAACAAAAATCTGAATTTACTATTGACGATAACAAGGTATTTTGGAACATTTCTGAAGTGACTTGACCCCATATTTATATGTAATGCCTGCTCATCCTTTGACCCACTCTTGTGTCACCTCACAAAATATATTTTAAACCCGACTTAATTTGCCTGTTATTGCCTCAATCATATTGGTTATGAATTTTGATACGAATTTTGTTACATACTGTATATTATACTTTGTGAGAATGTCAAACCACATTTGTATGTATTATTGCCAATGTAAATTGTTCATAATTCAGCCATCTGGCTGCGAAGTGCGATTAATAAAACCTTTTCAATCAATCAATCAATCAATCAAATATTCCATGATTACACAATCATTACAAATGGGGCATCATTGTAAATATACTAACAGGAGAAAGGCCAACGTTAAAACTTTAATACAAGACCCTTTCTGAGGGGTTTGTTTTATATAATCAATAATCCCGTTTGTAACATGTAATACCATCAAATCACCGAAACAATCCTGAGCGAACTGATAGTTAAAGGTAATACAGAGTTTTGGGAAATTTTGAAAATTGGGTGGACAGTAAATCTTTACAATTTTGATATATTTGGATGCCCCTGTGGATGTATTATAAGCACTACAAAAATTAACCCCTAAAACACTTCTGTTTTTGAGAAAAATTGAATATAAAAAATTACCGGTGCTCCCGGTAAATTTTGATGAATTTCAAATAGCGCCTACGGCCGTATGGTAGCTGCGACCATGAAAATCTCAGAATATGTAGTTGTGATATATAATTTCCAAACGGGAATAGCTAAACGGTCGATTTTAGTCAAGAAACATTGTTTCATAGCTAAATTGATATCTTGACCTTGAGAGGGAGCTATACAACATAAAGAGTTTATTATTTATAATTTCATAACTTTAGACTCGATTTCAACCGGGACAACGATCAATGAATATTGTAGGAACGCATATGATTCCAATATGTTGATTTGAACCAAATTCATGACTCCATACCAAAACTTTGTAATACCTTTAAGAGTTGTGCTTGCCAAAGATGAAAAAGCAGTATTAACACTAATGTGGCAAATACGATCCACTTATTAATTAATTGTTCATTTCATAATGACGCTTCGTAGGTGGTCTACAGGCACATACTCTAATCTGACAGAACCTAGCTCCGCCAGTCCTTAGCTGTGTCCGGAGCAGCTAAAGTATATTGCCTATGCAGTATACCGTCAACATAGTCTCACTGTGCAGACACTGTACAAAGAACGGGTTTGATCCCGTAAAATACGTTCCCATAGGATGGGCACTACTTACACGACATGCGTTGCTCTCCTGACGCCATCATACTCTATCTGATCCCCATTTATAAGAGCGAAACCTGTAGGACCTTTTACGACAAAAATCAGCAGTACCAGCGCCAGCGTTCCTAAGATAAGAAGACTCACGAATCTCCTGATTGCATGCATGGTAACACCCCTGAGGAAATCAGAAAAAAATATACCTAATAATAATTACAATTGTTGTGATGATGATGATAGTAATGATAATTTTAAAAAATAACATAAACACCAATGATAAATAACAAAAAACTAAAATAATTGATAGAAGTAATACAAATGACAACATTGATAATAATAATAATAATGGTAATAATAAACTAGGCTTCTATAGCGCGTTTCATCTTTGTGAAAATATTCATACGCTTTACAATAATAAAACAACACAAATTACATATAACCACTATTTCATGAACTAAAGAAATATTTTGTGTATTTTATATTTATTAACATTTATTTCCTTCTTAACAGTACAATATGAAACACAATGTATGTATGAACTGTATATGTAACAATGATTGCGACATAGAGTAAACAGTAAACAATTCAGATACGGAAGGAGGCGAAAAACCGAAAAGCAAAGCTTGAGTTGGGAACGCCCATAATAAGTTAATACAGTTACTGAGAGAACATTATATATTTTATTATGTAAATTACATATTGTATAACAGAGCAGTGATAGGAAATAAAAAATAGTAAATGGAAGGAAAAATGAGAAGAGAATTACATATATGAAGGCATGTTCAATTGAGTTAACTCAATTGGGCTGTGCATGTGTCTGCGATTAAATCATTAAAATAACAAAGTACTAAAATTCTAAAATAGCATAATTAATAAACAAAGAGCAGCTTCATCCGACAGCATTGTCCCGGGGAATATACAGATGGTACCTAGCAACAGCTGAGGCGTGTACGTTAGTGATAAAAATAATCAAAATAAATAAATGATCGGCCGTACAACATTTTATTGAATTCCAGAAGAGGTCATTTTCACACATAGATACAAGAGAGGGTATTAATATCGAGCAATTAAATACATTTTTGCCTTACTGGAAAAAGTCTGCAAGGAGAGCGACTTCTGTAGGATAGATGGTAAGGTGTTCTAAAATTTTGGCCCTTTCAGTTATAAAAACTGCTCGACCAAGGGGCCTTGTATCAACATAATCAAAAACATTTTTACAAAACATATAAACATACATAAGTTATAATGAAGACACAGACAGATAAAATATTGAAGTAAATGGGGGGGGGGGGGTAAAATATTCATGTAAGTACTATTTTAAACTATGTGAGAGAAAGGAGTTTGCAGTGTATTTTAATTGAATCCAGTGAGTTTAATAAAGAAGGGGGTAATTCATTCCATATAACGGAGCCTTGATAACAGAAAGATCTTTTGAAATACTCGGTTTTGTGTTTTTTAATAAATAGAGGACAGGTAGTTGCATATCTGGTATAAACGTTTATCGGTCGATAGCACACGATATCCTTAATATATTTCGGCATTTTATTATTTATCACCTTATACATCCATATTCTAAATTGGTATTGCACTCTCTGAACAACTGATTGCCATCTTAGAGAGGATAATAATATAATACGAGGTGTCAAAATATCTACGTTTAGTATTAAACGGGCATAACGATTTTGTAACTTTTGTAACTTTTCCAAATGACACTTTGCTGAACATCCCCACAAAACAATACCGTACTCAATATGTGACAATATCAAACTATCATATAACAATTTTTAAATTCTTTTCGGCAAATAATATTTAATATGTTTTATACATGATATGGTTCTAGATATTTTGGAGACAGTTTCCGAAATATGTATATCCCACTTTAAACAATTATCAAATAATACACCAAGATATTTGAATTCATTTACAACTTCTATAACATTATCTCTGTAAATCAAGCGTACACTCTGATTTTTGATTCGTGTTCTTGTCCCAAATAACATGATCTTACACTTCTTAATATTCAACATTAAGTCATCTTTTTCAATGTGATCATTTTTTTTTAAAACTCACAATTAAGCGTTTTCTCAACAAGGGCAATTTTTTTGCCTTCGCAAAATATTGCCGCATCATCGGCGTATAAACATATTTTAGTATTTTCACAATAGGGCAAATTACAGAGGTCATTGGTCATTAGTAAAAGTCATTAGTAAAAAGAAGGGGGCCCAATATTGATCCCTGTGTGATTCCAGTATTTACACCTCTAAATCCAGACTGAGCACCTTTAACCACGACACATTGTAATCGATCACTTAAGTAACTTTTAAACCAGGCCAATTATTTTCCTTTTACACCATACTTGTCTAATTTGTAGAGTAAAATATCGTGATTCACCGAATCGACCGCATGTTTTAGGTCCAAAAATAATGCACCGGAGATAAGACCCCTGTCTATCCCCCTTAGTAAGAAATACACACAAACCATGGTTGTGATTACTTCAATTTGATCTCTATCCTTAACACTTCTAGATTTTCCTGTTCAAGATCAGACCTTCTAGTGCAAGAAATTGAGCCTTTGATATAATATCCAATTCCACCGCCACTAGCATTTCGATCTTTACGTTCAAAAACATATCCTTCTATATTCAACTGTTGTGTTTCAATAGTTTCATCAAGCCAGGTCTCTGACACAGTAAAAACATAAATCATGTTTTCGGATAAATAATGAGAAATATGGTCCGACTTGTTTCGGAGACTTCTAACGTTTAACTGAGATATTACAAAGCCTTTACCATTTTTTTTGTTTACTAACCCTTTCTCACAAAAATTACTTCTCGCATCATTTACATGATTAATGTTTTCAGGTTCCTCAGCAGTGATTAATGGATAAAACGGTAATTCTTTTAAAAATAAATTTATTACATATCCAATCAGATGAAGAGAAAAAAAGTCTTCATCAAGAGAAGAACGCTAAAGATGGATCCAGTGTGAACATCTCACACAAAGAATAGCATTTTGATTATTCTTAACAGGTCTTAAACATACGAGGCAAGGATATTTGGGCAACATGACTTATATTTACATAGGCAATTAAACAGATAAGAGAATGTGAGGATATAATTTACAATAATTGTTCAATGTCACGTTATGAAGATATCCTCACTTTCTTGTCTTCCTTTGTTATTGTTATTTGTCCAGATTTTCCTGACCTTTTCGCACTTACGAGCTTTGTTGAAGAGTATCTGCCGATTCTTGGTTAGGTCTTCGTTGACGTATATCTTGCTCCCGCGTAGATTAATTGGTGCGAGCACGGTAAAATTCGTCTCTCACGTTGAACCGCGAAAATTTGACAGTCAAAGTTTGGGGCTTTCCGATGAATCTAGATTTCTCGGATAAATTCGATGAGATCTATCGATGTCCCCGACTACCACGTCGATTTTCAACTTTTCTCTCGCAAGCTTCACAATCAGCTCGTTGGTATTTTCATTGGGTGACTCTACTATTCCATGAATACGAAGACAATTCCTGCGACTATATGCTTCTTGCTCTTCAATTTCTGTTGCCGATTCCGCTACCTTTCTCTGAAGGTCATTGACGTCTTTCTCTAGCTTCTCGTGATTGCAGAGAGCTTCGATTAAATGTCATGGTCTAATGATTGGTATCTTGGGCGTCAATCCTTACGTAATACCTATTGTATCAATATAGGTATCAATTACAGATCTACGCCCATGATTGGTATACTCGTTGCGTCACTTCTTTGTGATTGTGTCAATGACCTTCTAATGACCAAGGGCTTCAACAATGCGCTCATGGAGAGTTTCATTGAATTCTTCCAGATGAATAGGTCCTAGGGTTGAAGGCGATTTGGGTGGCTGACCAGCAGAAGAGGCCGAATGATCATCGGAGCTGCCCCAGGGCCCCGGGTCAGTGGGCTGCCTAGTGACTGATCCTTTTTTTTTAAAAGATTCTTGCTTCTTTTTTTTGTCGTTGACGTGCACTTTTTGGGGACATGATGAGGTTCCAAATTTCAGATCAAAACAGAGAGTAGTTGAAGACAAACAAAATGGTTCCATCAAATAACGCTGAAAATTTGTAAAAGAGGTAAAAACCCAGATTTTCCTTCAAAATTCTCGAGCAACTCAAAAAGGTGTTGTGTAGCGTCAGTGGTTACTATTGATATGATGTATGGGTTTCCGAGTTGTATTGAAAATTGATGAGATCACTAAATTGTGATGGGAAGATGTTGTTCATTCTTTTATACATGGAAATACCCTGTTGATGCAAGTTGATATCACTGAATCTCAAGAAAATAATTTGCTTAAAGACGGGACCAATATGGGAGCGATAGTGCATTCCGGATATTATACGAATAATCTTCTTTTGCAATAATGTAAGCTTTTGAATGTTGTACTTGCAGGAATTCGCCCAAACAAGATTACAGTAAGAAAAATATGGAAGTAAAGAGCACAATATAACATACGTAGCAAGTGATTGGGCAAGAGATGTTTGAGTCTGGATATAATGCCAATGTTTTTGTACACCTTACTTTCAACTTCGTGAATATGGTATTTCCAAGACAAGGAACTATCTAAATCAACGCCAAGAAATTCGACCTTATCCACCCTTGGCAATATGACATTATCAAGAACAATATTGAAATCATTTAAATCTGCATTCTTTCCATTGTGAAGAATTTCTTTACATTTACGGATAATTTATTAGATTTGAACCATTCACATATATATATATATATATATATATACAAGACCTGCATTTACTGTTTCCATAAGAGACTTCAAGTTTGAATCTCTGTGAAATATGTTTGTGTCGTCTGCATACAGTATAAAAGACAATTCATTAGCAGATTTATAGATATCATTCACATATAATATAAATAACAGTGGCCCAAGCAGGCTACCCTGGGGAATTCCCCATGTTACTGTTCTAAACTCCAAAATAGAAGATTGATACATAGTACATTGTAATCGATTGTTAAGATAGCTGGTGAACCATTTATGAGCTACACCACGTATTCCATAACGATATAGTTTAGATAGTAAAATATTGTGATTAATTGTGTCAAAGGCCTTTGACAGATCTATAAAAACTCCAATCGCAAATTCGTATCCTTCAAAGGCTAGGCATTGCATTACTCGCCATGCAAATTCAGGATTGACAACAAATGTCGTTTACATGATTTTACTTGGATGATATGCATCCTGTCTAAGGATACGATATAGTATAATGCTGGATGACAATTATGGCAAATACAGACACAAAATATTGAAATACTCCATGCACTCTGAGGAAAGACAGCTAGAGAGTTCGTGACAGAATTTTCAAGAAGTATAGTCATGCCAAAGAAGGAAAAAGGGAGGAAATCTAAAAACAAATAAAACAAAAACAGGTGTGGACCCAGACTGTACTGTGTGTACACAGGCGTGAGAGAGAGGAATACAAAAAAACACACACAAATATGCTAGAGTAGGTGTAGGTACCTCTCCGTACAATAAAAAGATTAAAAGCAACAATATCCTCGCCGTATACGCGTACATTAAAAGAAACAAAGTAAGTAAGGAACTGCAAATGACAATACTTCTCAAGACTAGTCAATTTACAGATATAGTATGAAGTCATTGCTCAAGTAGAAAATAATGTGAGATGTACAATTTGGTACACAGAGACATGAACAATATGCAATGATATCTACAAATCACAGTCTCATATGAACAGTAATGAAAGAATACATTACTATAGTCGTACATTATCATTAGAAAAGTAGAATATGCTATATTGTTTGTGAGATATCTCCTGAATTGTACATGGAAATGACTCTAAACTATAAGCGATATGAAACATATATAGGCTGGTTCATGAAATCTTTTCACCCCTTTTTTTCTTCTTTTTTCTTCTTCTCATGAACAAACAAAATATTCATCAAAATAAGAACAAGATTTATCATAATCAATCATTATCAAGATAAATTACAGGAAATTGTACTGCCTTAACATTTAAAATGCGCTTACATCTTCGACATGTACTTCTTATCAAATGTTATTCTAATTATTCTTTATTTTTTCTTTGCATAATCTAGGAATTATTGCTGTTTCCTGCTTCGAGATCACGGATGTTTCAGAAACATGTAGACGCGACGATGTATAGTTTAATGTTTAATGTTCTTGGAAATATATTGATACCAGGTTGGTGTATAATAATATCAAGCAATAGTCACAGTATTGTAAGTTTTCGGGAAACTAAAACAGTATTTAAGCTTGAATTCGCAAACAAGAAGAAATAAATAGAAGGTTCGACTTACCCTTTTTAATCAAAAGAAAAACCCCTCTCTCAAACAGGGAGAGACCAGACAAGAAATGGTAATGTCGTGGAAGAAATAGAACATAACATTGCACTCATATCGCTCCAGTGACCACTCAACTACAGTGCCGGAGTTTAACGTTTAGTATACGCTCCGACAATACAGCACCTCGCCCCGCACTACGCACGCATTTAATAAACACGTACCGTGCTTTTCCCGATTGCCTTCTAGTGTTCCTGGTTAGACGACAAATATCGATATTTACTTTACATTGTTTGTTATCGGGTTAGGTAATACATGTACGCTATTTATCGACCGGTCTGCTTCTTTCTAGTGTGGTTAGTGTATACTGATATGCAAACTGCGTTACCTTCCTGTGTATTTATTGTTCATTTGAACCTCAAAACCGACGATTCAACCCCGGCCGAATTTCTACTGACCAATACACAAAACGCAACATCGTTTGGAACGAGGCCGAATTATCGACCTTACCGTGTTATGTTTTGTTCGGACCATGTCAATGATTTTCGAATGATCATGCCAATTCCCTCATTTATTCTAAAAGGGTGATACAAATTATATTTCCCTCCACACTCCAAATATATACCTCCATATTTGTATTTATTGTTTGTTTGTCTTTTAGATTTAGACATCTCCATTTCGGTTGTATAATGCAGCTGTCCATTTGTTGCCGCAACCAAGAGTTAGAACACCTCATCAACTATCATTCGCTCATGAATTTTCCAGATGTAACGGTCTGAAGTGTTCACATTTCTGTTACGTTTCGATATTATTAGAATGATTCCTTCGAAGGATAGAACCCTCTGTCTTGATACCGAAGTAAACCCCAATAAATAAAGGAACTATTTGCTCAATGGACCTCCTGTTGTGAATGCAGTTTAATAAAGTGATATTAATCTTGCATGTGTTCTGGCATTGACACTTTACTTTCCCTTCCTCTGACTCCCCCCCCCCCCCGCTCCGCTGATTTCCACATCTCTCTACCTCTCTTACTTTCACTCATCTGTTCTCCTTTTTGCTCTTCCTTTTCCATCAACTTATCCCTCTATCTCTGTCTATGTTTTTCACTTCGTTTCTCTCACCGTCCATTCTCTCTCTTTCAATTTAATTAGCTTTATTAATATGCATGGTAAAATTGTAGTCTTGTACACCACGTTAATCACGGTGGGGGTAAAGGCAAACAATATTTTTTTAAATAAAAAACAATGACAACAACGTAATAAGCCTATTATAGTGTTTTTATAATCGGATTTACAAAAGCGCTTAATAGTTACCACGCCACTTATGAATCATGTCATTGATTCTTCTCTCATTTTGAAGCCATTCTGTCATTTTGTCTGCCTCTTCAACCCAGTTTCCTTCATTCAACCTCGCTGACGATTGCAACTATTCAAGATTCCCAAGTCTGACTTGAATTGTGCCACAACTGGATTTGTCCAGAGGTCTTTGGATGTTTTAGTAGATTAGCTTGTTTTGACCAACTCCCGCATGAGACAATAGTCAAAACCAGAAACCAAATTATCTAAGCTTTTTGATAATAGAGTACCCCTATCCTAGAATATAAATCTTTCAAATTTAAATGAGAATTTAATAGTATTAGTTCAACAATCAGAATGAAAGCATGGATTTGATAATCACAATATGATAGCCATCTCATATATATCGTAATAAACTAGAATATAACCTATCGTCATTAATGTGTACAGGCACGTATTGAACTTCGGAACGCTTGTGAAGGGGGGGGGGCATAAATTCCGCCCTCGCCTTAACTAGATCTAGCAAGCAACTCAAAAATTAACCATGATATTTGACGTAGGCCCTCTGCTTAATTAGTAAGTGGCAAATTATGCAAGTTCAAAGTCTGGCATTCTTAGTTTTACATGGAATATGTTCCTTGCCCGTTGAATGATATTAAAAACAATGTTTTTCCTAATGTTCCATGAACTATTTAAAAATTGATCATCAATACAAACTTAATTGAAACAATTATTGCCACTTTAACTCGACGACGTTCTTCTCTTTTTAATTGAGCTTTCAAATTCCTGCTGAGAGTTTACTTAAAGGTCGCTTAGCATTTTCAGATTTGTACTTTTTGAAGTATCTCCAAACCAAACCACATAGAAAAGAAGTATGTGGTGTGTGGGACGTTTTAAATAAAGGTTTAGAAAATAAAGTGAAACTAGGACTAAGACACTAACTACATCAGGAAGTACGGTAGTCCATCCAGAGAGAAGGTTAACAAAGTTTTTTCGCCGAGATTGAGAGAAGAATAATGAAGGGAGAGAAAAGAGAGAGGGAGAGAGAGGGTGGGGATACTGTACACATAACTTAAA